ATGATGTCTTATGCCAGGAGAGATACCCATGTGACTCTGAAAACCACGCCTTTTATAGAACATGGCTTTTCAGTTATAGACCTTGGCTTGTGAAAGATCAGAACAGACCCAGCCATGACAAAGACAGAGAAATCTTGGTTCACACTGGATTACACACATGAAAAGTATGTGGACGGTGCGTGTGGGGAGGGGCACAGTAGCCGTGTATGTGGAGACCAGAGGCTGACACTGGGTGTCTTCTTGAGCTGCTCTCCACTTAAAAAAGAAAGATTTGCTGTTATTTGATGCATATGGGTGCTTTAGTCTGCATGCATGTATGTGGACCACATGTGTGCTGTGTCCTGGGGGCGGGGGCAGAAGAGGGCATTGGATTGCCTGACACGGGTTACATGATGGTTCTGAACCACCAGGTAGGTTCTTGAAATGGAGCTCAGGTCCTCTGAAAGAGTAGCAGGTGTTGTTAACTACTGAGAATCCCTCAGGCCCTCCTCATTTAATTTTTTATTTTTTGAGACAGGGTTTCTCTGTGGCTTTGGAGCCTATCCTGGCACTCGCTCTTGTAAACCAGGCTGGTCTCAAACTCACAGAGATCCACCTGCCTCTGCCTCCCGAGTGATGGGATTAAAGGCGTGCACCACCAACTCCCGGCTCCATTTCATTTTTTGAGCAAGTTTTTTTTTTTCTTCCAGCTGGCTTAGAACTTGCCATGCTGAAGGACCAGTTTGCTACAGTGCCTGGCTTTAGTGGTCTCTGGAGTCAGATTCTCACGTTTACACAGATGGAGCCGTCTTCCTGCACCCCAGGTGTTTACTGTTGCTTCCAGCCCAAATCCGCAGAGCTGCCACACACTGTAGAGTTAAGTCTCCAGTTTCGACACAAGGGTAAAATTATTGATGTCCTAGGTGCAAGTTTAACAACCTAGGTAGGTTAGGGCATGAAACCTTCATGCATTTGACTTCACAGATCAGAGCTAACTTATCTACAGGAACCTGGCTCCTTCTGCAAGTACAATAATGTCCCCCGACACCTGCTTGTCCTATGGCAGTTGGGCATGAAGAAGAGGTGGGAAAACTATGACAGGAGCCTCATGGTAAAGACAAAGCCTGAACCAACTCACCAGCCATCTCTTCTGCTGCCCTCTCGCTGAGATCCTTCCTATTGATATTCTGGAAGATTCTGAAGGTCACATCCCAGGCTTTCTGCTCATAATGCTTCACCAGTAAGTTGGCAAGGTGTTCCCGGGATGCCTTCTTCACTTCGTTCCAGGGAATGTGCTGCAGCCCACTCTCTGCTATCTCCTGCCTGAGGACCTCCTTGAACTTCATGAACTCTTTCTTGTTTAGCTCTTTCAGGTACCACATAAGACCAAAATCAGAAAAGAAAGAGGCCATCCTGTCTTAAGGAAGAATAGAGGTGTCTTCAGAGAGACGGCCACCTGGAGGAAGAAACAGACGGGATCTGTGGGGAAATCAGTCAAACAGTGAGTTATTTTTATAAAATGGCACCACGGGGCTGGGGAGACAGTTGAGCTGGTGAAGTGTTTGCTGGGCAACTTTAAGGACCTGCGTTTGCACCCTCAGCACTGGTGTGAGAAGCAGGGTGTGGTGGCAGAGCTCTAAGTCTACCACTGGAAAAGCAGGGAGAGGAGGATCCCTGGGGTCTGATGGCCAGCTGGTAAACCCAAATTTGGTGAGCTCCAGGTTTACTGAGAGACTGGGTTTCCAGTACCTACACAGGTGTGTTGGGCTGGGGCAGGGAGCACTCACAGCTGCCTGTAACTTTAGCTCCAGAGGATCCCACACCCTCTACGGACTCTGGAGACACGGCATGCATGTGGGCACATACATACACTCCAGCACATACATAAATCTTAAGAGAGTTACTGTCAACTCCAGCTCTGGCGATACCAGGTGCAATGCTAGTTAGTATAGGGGACAGTATTTATGAGGATGGTACATGATAGACACATGCGGGCATAACCCAGCTATAAATGTAAACCGAGTCCAGGGAGCTCAGTGGCATGGGCCTGGAATCCCAACTACTTCAGAGGCCCGAGGCAGGAGGATTTCAAAAGCACGGTTTGCTAGCCAACATAGTTAAGTCAAGGCAAGCAACTTAGTGAGACCATGCATAAAATAAAAGTAGGACTGGAGAGACGGCTCAGGGGTTAGCAGCACTGGCTGCTCTTCCAGACAACATGGGTTCAATTCCCGGCACCCACACTGTGGCTTACAACGAGGGTGGGGTGCAGCTCTGGGGTTAAGAGTACCTATTGACATTAGTTCTAATAGCCAGAACCTGGAAGCGACCTAGATGCCCTTCAATTGAAGAATGGATAGAGAAAATGTGGTACATTTACACAATGGAACATTTACTCAGCGGAAAAGAAAACACAATAGAATCTTGAAATTAGCAGGCAAATGGATGGAACTAGAAGAAACCATTCTGAGTGAGGTAACCCAGTCACAAAAAAAGACAAATATGGTATGTACTCACTCATATATAGATTTTAGACATAGAGCAAAGGATTAGCAGCCTACAACCCCACCTCCAGAGAAGCTAGGAAACTAGGAGGACCCTAAGAGAGACATACATGGTCCCCTGGAGAAGGGGAAAGGGACAAGATGTCCTGAGAAAATTGGGAGCATGGGGGGAGGGGAGCTAGGAGAATGAGAAGGGGAGAAGAGGAGGGGTGAGGAGGACATGAGGGAGCAGGAAGGTTGAGTTGGGGGAAGAATAGAGGAAAACAAGAAAGGAGATACCAAAATAGAGGGAGACATTATAGGTTTATAGAGAAATCAGGCACTGTCTGCAGAGCTATAAAGATGACACCAACTAACAAGCCAAGAAATAGAGGAGAGGCTACCTTAAATGCCCTCCCCTGATAATGAGATTGATGATTAACTTATATGCTATCCTAGAGCCTTCATCCAGCAGCTGATAGAAGTAGAAGCAGACACCCACAGCTAAACACTGAACTAAACTGGAATCCAGTTGCAGAGAAGGAGGAGTGATGAGCAAAGGGGTCCAGACCAGGCTGGTGAAACCCACAGAAACAGCTGACCTGAACAAGGGGGAGCTCTTATTCCCCAGACTGATAGCTGGGAAACCAGCATGGGACTGATCTAGACCCCACTAAGGTGGGTGTCAGTGAGGAGACCTTGGAAATCTATGGGGCCCCTTGTAGTAGTCCAGTACTTATCCCTAGCATAGGAATAGACTTTGGGAGCCCATCCCACACGGAGGGATACTCCCTGAGCCTAGACCCACTGGATGGGCCTAGGCCCTATCCCAAAAGATATGACAGTCTCAGAAGACCCCCTATGGAAGGCCTCACCCTCTCTGGGGAGCAGAAAGGGTATGGGATAGGTAGGGTGTTAGTTGTGGGCCAGGGGAGGAAAGCAGGGAGAGGGAACTGGAATTGACAGGTAAAACAATCTTGTTTCTAATTCAAATAAAAAAAATTAAAAACAAAAAAACTTGCTGAAGATTCAGAGATCCACAGCCAAGCACTGGGCTGTGCACCTGGAGTCCTCCTGAAGAAAAGAGGGAGGGACTAGGGGAGGTAGGAGCCAGTCAAGATCCTGATGGAGGAACCCACAGAGATATTGGCCTGAGCCCATGGGAGCTCATGGATTCTGGACCAACAGGGACCTGCCTGGGACAGCCCTAGGCTCTCTGCTGGTGTGTGACAGTGTATTGCTTGGTCTGTTTGTAAGGCTCCTAACAGTGAGATCAGGACCTGTCCCTGAGCCCTTAGCTGGGTTTGTGAACCCATTCCCCAAGCTGGATGACCTTGTCTAGCCTTTATGCAGGGGAAGGAGATCCGACCTGCCTCAGCTTGAGGTGAAAGCTTTGTTCAAGCCCATGGGAGGCCTGCCCCTTCCTGAACGGAGATGGAGGAGCAGATGGGGAGTAGGGTAGATGGAGGGGGGGAGGAGTCAGGAGGAGAGGAAGGGAGGGAAAACTGCAGTCCCTATGTAAAATAAAGAAAAACTGAATTAAAACAGAGAGTGCTTGCCAACCCTGTAACTCGAGTTCTACAGCACCTGGCACCTGGCACCTTCTCCTGCTCTCCATGGGCACCAGGCCTGTGTGCGATGCACAGACAAAACACTCATACACATAAAATAATAAAGAAGACAGCAGTTTTAAAATACATAAAAATAACAGTGTGGCAGAGTGTGCAGTCTGTGTGCCGTGTTCTAGGTTCAGGCATCAGTGCTTCAAAAACCAAATCGCAAAGCAAACCTAACCAAATGACAACAACAACAACGCTAACAAACCCAAACCAAAAAGCAAGGCCGGTGACCCCAAAGCTGTGCTCAGATGGGCAACACTAACTGTACTATATTTAGCTTGACATTTTATGAACAAATCGTATATTTTAAGTGAGATACAAAAAACCAACCAGAATCAGAAGAAAAC